AATCATTCTAACCAGCGCATGGCAGTTTGCGGCCTTTCCTTACATCTAGGCAGTTTGGAGAGCCGCAAAACACTGGAACAAAAATTATCTTCTAAATCGGCACTCTAAATCCCCAAGGTATCAGCGAGCACTTTTCATTCAACTAATTTATTCTTGTTTTGTAGTCTCCATATTCCCACCAATAGCTAGCTCCATTTTCTACATATAAACCCATATACAACCCAAAATTCCTCCAATCGCTCTGACGAAGGGCTAACGCTCGAAACTTTAGCCTTTAAACTCGTTAAGGTGGCCAATTTACGTTTTTAACTCAGTTGTTAACACTAAATACTAAAAATAACAATAGTTTTACAAGCATCGCAACCATCCATGCTGAGTTAACCGGAAATTGGTCAGACGTCTTTATTGTCACCTCCTGCTATGGCTGTTAGAAAAAGGCGTTTTAATACAAACATTGCCCCTTAGATGCAGGTAATTGTAGCCAGTGTAAACGAAAAAAGCATTAAAGAGTCGAGCTCGTACGAGAAATCTGCTTAAAAAAGCGTACGAAGAGGCAATCCAAGACAAAGCAGAGGGTTTTAATACGTCTGAAACTTAAGTTTGTTCTTGCAATGACAGGGTTGCACATTACCATTCAGCTCGAATGATGTAAAATTTACTCAACTTGAAATAGTCCTAGGCTTATGTAGGGTCTATTGAAAGAAAAAAAAAAACCAGTTTCTGAAAGTTTGGAACCTCCAACCCCTCCCTCTATTAAAATTTCCGGATCCGCCCCGATGTGCTCTGCTTATATTCTACGCTCTTTAAAGACTGCCTAAAAGGGAACCTTAGCATCTTTGTGTCTAAAGCCCAACTAAGCAAAGTGAACGGAGAGGGATTCTGTCATTGGACAAGGAGACGTATGTGGGGAGATTGAGAGCAATTTCCGCGAGGCCCAAACTTGTAGGATTTTCGTTATCGACAGAAGAGGAGTTATATCCACTACTCATGAGTTCTAGAAAAATTGGCTCTCGAAATTACTCGGTTACAAATGCTTGCCAGTACCTTTAACGATACTGTTGCAGAGATAAATATAATTGAAAAGCAATTCTCATCTTACTCATGGAAGATAATTCATCTGACGGTTTATGATTAATTACTACGCACTGGGAGCAAGTATTAAAGTTATGATCTCTGCAACAGCCTATTGGCAAAAGGAGTTCTCTAACACAAAGTAGTTTATTTCTCCTTATCCAAGAGTGTGGGACGTACTGAGTGAATATCAACCATAAAGTTTCTTTTGTGCAGACTGAGAGCAGTGCTCAATACAAAAGAGGTCAACGGGCGATATGTTTCCAGTGGGGGAAATAACAAATTTAATAAGTGAGGAAACACACTGGGGGAATAACAATCATAATAGAAAATGAAATTAAGTTTTCTTTCATTTCTGGCATTTCTGGTTTGTGTATTACAAACTCAACTGGTCATACTAGAGAGCAGACATCTTGAGATGGTTTCAAAACAAATTTTATTGTCATTACTGAACGGCATCAACTGAACATTTTATCCTTAAACATATTCTATCGCAATAAATACCAAGAAGAGAAATACTTTTCGTCTTCGACAACATAATTTTGATTTTCGAGGAGATTAACTTTACTGATTACCTGACGAGTTAAATACATCTCTTATGATCAATCGACCCAAAATCTTAAATAATTTAAATTAATTTGCAACGAGTCTTAACTGAATGTCGAAGGCCACATAACGAAATTCAATCTCAAAACAACATCAGTCAACTCAGTCAAATGACTGTGACATTCAATTTAGGGAAAGGTCCCAGGAGGTTCTGTAGAATGCAAACTGGATCGTTCCTTGGCTCCACACTTCCTTTCTATGTTGAAAGAAATAAAATGTGAACTAAAAAGTTTCGAAGGGTTAGAGAATATAAGTTAATATTTGAGTAGAGAAGATGCAACTCAGTAAAAGGAGCCGCCAAGTGACAGTAGTGTTGACTGAAAAGTGTCAATAAAGTATCAGCTAAGTGCCAACCGAGTATCGTCAGACATGCGTGTCGATCGTGAGGCGACCGATGTCATTCGACATGTCAACATACTCGGTCGATATGTCAGTTGAGTATTAACCAATATATTAACCAACACATGGCGGACATATCGACCGATAGTATCGACTAATACTCGTCCGACAGATGCCTTAGGTGAACATGACCCGACAAGACCACGTTGATTGTGACGGAAAACAAAACATTACTTTCCCTGGACACTGTTAAAGTTATTTAAAATTCCTTTTTAACTGTCTACCAATACCAGATAATGTTGTTGTAAGGGAACCATTGAAGACCATTGAATCGGAAGAGAGAATGACTTCGAAGACTATCGTTTTAAAATGTTGAATTCATCAACCCAACTAATTTAGTGAACAGCACGAGGTTTCCCAAGCTTTTAAAAGTCAATTCCCGTTTTGCGCCGAAATCAGCTGGGTCCTCAAGTTGGTTACTGTCAACATAACAGCAAGCCCACGTAGGAAAATTTCCTACGCGCATTACTTTTAATGAAGCCGTGGAAGAGTATACATCACTGTAAAGCTTATAAAGTATAAATTATGAAAATAACAACCGTTCTGGAAGTTTTTATTTTGGTAGCCGCGCACAAGGTGTTTCCTATACTGAGTTATTAGTCTCCGCATTACTGCGGACGTCAACACAAACTGGACAGTATCACTTAGCAGATGACAGGCCAACCATGTATGTGAGGCTTATTTAATATTCCTATTGGTTCCTGAGAAAATATATTTTGAAGTTGAACTATAGTAAATATTTCGGTTGTTGTCACACTTCGGGACGACACGAAATAAATATTTCGAATTTCCTAAAGGCGTCACACACTTTGGTGCCTGACGAACAATCTGTCAATTTTCATGAAAATTGAACAAATGTGTCTACGTACCCTTTTAATTCGTTAAAGCAGAAGTAACTGACGTAAAAACAAACCTCGAGTTTTCGGCCTCCTGAGAAATTTACAGTTTTCATGCTGCACCGAGCGATGAAAGGCAACACCCTTGGCCATTTTAGCGAGTTATCCATTTATAGATTTACTATTCCTCCTTCTCGTATGAGTAGTAAACCCAGAAATGGATAACTCGCTAATTTAAAATGGCTTCTTTTCAACATAATAAGCAATGCACTATGAAAGTAAGGTAAGGTATTTCAATTGAGAATTTTACTGCATTTTTTTTTTATTCCTGAGAGTAGTCGTAAACATTTCCATACAAACTCTTATAATTTCGCCAGGACTCTAATTTTGCAAGATTATCATTTTGAAAATATTGACCAAATTATGTTTGATGAACAAGTCCCCCGCAGGCAATCACTGATAAGTATCAGAACTAACCTTCATGGTCCCCAAAAGAGTTTCCATTGTGAGAAGAACTTCATATTTCACACCAAACTCTACCATACGGCATTTCCAAGGAGACGACTGGAAATTTAGGATTGTACACGGCTGCGCAGTCTCGTCCAGTGCATGACGAACTTGGAACTCGAACCCAGGTCCACCAGGTAGACCAACTATGGTCATTCCAGGTTTAATATGAGGTCTAAGGGCATTAAGATAATCTTCATGGGCAGACGCAGGAAAGACAAAGACTACGAAATCGATATCTCGCATGGCTTCACCTGGGTTCTTTGTTATGAATGCTGGTTTGGATTTGATAGACATCGGCTCATGTCCCCTGCGCTGTACCTCAACTTCAACGCTTGTGGTCTGCAATGCAGAGCTCCAGCGCTCTGCTTCATCTTGATTTAAACTCAGCACACGAACTTCAATTCCCTTCCGAGAGGACGCTATGCCAGCAAATGCGTGCGCATCAATCCCTTCGCCACAGATCAACAACTTAATGGTCTTCACACGACTGCCCTGATAATAGAATTACAAATGATGTAAACTTATTGATAATTCGTTGCTTACAAATTCTTATTGATAAAAAAGAAACAAAAGACAGAAATATTTATCAAATTTCGAGGAAAAAGACACCACCTACAAGTGTCGAAAAGCGCTCATTGATTTTCTACGTTCCTTTTTTTGACAGCTATTAAAATTTGAAAAAATAAAGCGTGAAAGAGTTTAAAATAACCCCAAAAGCTCAAGATTAAATTTGGATGTTTGGTTTGTAGGCACAAAAATTGCTTCAATTAATTAAAACACCAAACAACATTTTATCAATACATACGTAAAATCCTGCTCCTAAACCTGATAAAACTCCCCCAACAGTCGCACCGGTTGCGCCAATGGCAGCATTTCCTGCCAGTCCTATGCCAGCAGCCCCTGCACTCTGCAGAACCGAAAAAACACCCCCTGTAAATCCTCCGTAAATTGCTGACTGTGCAGCTGCCGCCACGGAGCCAGCAGCAACACCTCCAGCAGTAAAACCAGCAGCACTAAGGACCACCGGAGCAGCTATCACTGCTGCAGCACCAGTTGCTACCGCACCACCTGCGACTGCAGCTACATAGCCCCAGTTGACATCACCTGAAAAAAATAGACCAACTACACTGCAAGACTAGATATGAAACAGTAGAGTGGAAACGCATAAGGGCACAAAGAAAAACCCTGCATATGTCAGCCAGTTGTAATGAGCAAATCAAAGGTAATTCCCTCGTTCCTGTAGAGTGTGCTGCTTCCACCACTTGTACTGAAGTTTCCGTTTTTCGTTTATTTAAATAGTTGCTGTATTGGTAGGTAGCCTAAGTATCAGTGAAATAGGATTTACCAGATATGCTGCTACATTCACAATAGTTCCTCATGTTTTTAATTCCTTTTACCTGAAAATGCTAATTTTCTCGTGGTTTAATCTGTTTTAAATTATTCCACTTCCTTTAGTGCCTGACAAACTTTGAGTTTCACTCCTGCACCTGAGTGTTTCACATGCCTATGCATACTGTGTTTCCTCAAATAACTACCCATGCTCATTAAAAGCCCCTCCTCCGAACAACCGCCACACCCAAGGCCATAAGATTAAACATTAAAGCCCCCAGCCCCCACTCCTTCCTCACTTTCTTAAATAGCAAGGATACCAGCAAATGTCATTTCTGTTTCCACTTCATGTATACTTTTTAAGCTTCAATAAAAGCGGATCAGCAAAGGAGAATAATAGGTTCCCCATTAATAAGTTTCCCTCCTTTTAGCCCAGGCGTTTATCCGAGGAAGTAAACCAAATATGCAGTAAATTTCAATAAATTACCTTTTCTAAAAAAAAAGCGTTTCCATGAAAGTAGACCATTCAAATCATTTTCAAAGAAGAGAAAAGTTTTATGAAAGATGAAAATCGCTAATCTTGTGTCGCAGTTGCGCAAACATGCTAGCGGATAGGATTATACAAAGAACCTGTGCATGAAGAGTTCTCATGGTTCCTGGAATCTGTAAATATTATAAATGACCCTGAAATATTTCGATACAAAAAATGTATTCAAAGCAGTTCTTGAATTGCTATTAGAAGCGAAAAACGTACGAACTTCTGTGAGGACGATACCCATGCATTTGAATTCACCACGCTCAGATCGTGGTTTACTTGAATTCAAGGCCAGAAAGTCATTTGAGGACCGTCATATTGGAAAAAATCGGAAACGTGCACATTTGACAGAAAATCTTCAGCAATATTAAACAATTCTATTCGGAAATAACATTAACCGGGTCTTGGGTTCTTCAAATTGTTGCTAGGCCTCACTTGACATCTAACAATTCGGTTTTCACTTTACGGCCACGGTTCGCATCGCTCTGGTGAATCGAAGTGACTTTGACTTGATGAGCGTGTTCTGTCGCGTCTAAGACTTAGATATCCACCTAATAAAGTATTTTGTGGCATGGATCCCTTAAATTTTGATCTCAAGAAGGTCAAATTCGATCGGAAAAGAACGGAAAATCAAACTTGAAAATTTTGAGAGTCGGCCGCGGGGACCATATTTCTTCATCATCTATTGAACACCACGGGAACGAAGATCGGTCGGATGAACACCGAATGCAAACGAAAATTCTCGAAATCGGCTATCAATAAATTTGATCGTGCACTCATCGGATTGATTGAGTACCAAGTGATAACCGACTTAATTACGCGCTCTGCACTAAAACAGTAGACACAAAA